AAAACCTGGCGCCGATCCACAAGAAAGCTGTTGATCCATTTGACAAAGTTATCTCTGATTCCTATCATTCTAGCTGGTACAGGAATCGGTAGTGTGGCACAGTGTCGAAGGCCCTTTGAAGGTAAATGAAAGCACTGTGAACCGCATGTCTATCCTCCAGGGCTAAGGGCCAGTTCTTGAGAGACTTCAGAAAATTTTTCGTGCACGATCTTTCCTTTCGGAACTCGCGTTGATAGTTTTATAATAGTTTTGGGGCCTAAATTTGTACCAATTTGCTCTTTATGGTCCTCTTCATGACCTTGCCGATGACACAGCGCAACTATTCACGTCCCTGAAAGCTAGACTATGCTCGTTGCTGAGAATATTAGTGCTTTGTTTTCGTTCAATCCTCTGCAAAAGCTTACAGGAAACATACAAGTCTTATATCCTTTCAATAATTATTGGCCTTATATCCCGTTTGAAACCCCTAGGGCGCCATTTATGACTGCGGTGTGTTGTATTTTTGCTTTTTTATGCCCATGTTTTTAGTATTTGCAGTTCTCCCTTTATTCTCCTCATCGCCCTTTATTAAATCGTCATTTACCAACACAAGTTTTAAAAATATTATGTTCCTTACTGTAACAGTCAAGATATTTGATCCCTAAGAATAATTTTCACGGGCCACGCACGTGCACATGCATGCTTTGATAAAGTGTAATGTGTGAGCGCACAGGGATCTTGAATAGTGTATTTTCCTTCCAAATAGGACTGGTACTCAAATGTTCGTGTGCGTCCGCTGTCTTCTGGTTGTATTCACACACTGCAAATTTCGCTAGAAGTTCATGAGCTTCCAAATGCAATTAGTCATTGTGACATCCAACGATATAGAAACTCGATGGAAATGTTACTGTTAGATGAAAGCGTTAATGTGAGGCACGAAATGGTCATAAAATTGTATAGAAAACTGCGCAAAGCTTCAGAACGACAGTCAAACCAATGTGGACCGGGAGACTTCAACCAATGGGACCCTACACCCTCATTGCGGGGACACACCACTTACATCATCTTCCACATAACCCAAAGTCACCGCCTTCATGTATTCGAACAAGGAAAATCCCTCTGTTCTGTCGGGCCGCTACGAAAGAATCAATACGTTCGAGGTCATTGAATAACTGATTATTAAGACCGCCAATAAGTGGGTACGGCTTCCCGTCCGGCTTTTTTGTTGTCGCCGTTTTTCCTCCCACAACGAAATCTATAAGAGACATATCAGTTTTATAGTCGGTTTAACATAAGGTATGCTTGGCACCAAAACGCAAGACTCGTCTTCAATTGCAATAGAATGTCTATAATCACGAATTGGTAATATACCTCCTAATAACACCTTCATTTTGTGTTCCCCCCACCTTCGTTTTTTAAAACTCGGGTGCCTGCTTTCATTTTCAACTATTTAGGCGTTGTTAAGTCCTTTTCCTCCGCATATCTTGTAGCGAACCTGTTCCACACCTTAATAACTTCACCACATATGTAGTTAAGCGCACAGGGCAGATAAGTACGCAAATATATGTGAAGAAGTTGGATTCAAATTTTGTTAGGTGAAAACGCACTGCCTTCTGTATTGACATGTGTTGTCTGCATGTTATCGCCCTTAATGGTATTTTTAGAAGCCCACTTAAAAGTCATGTAGGGATGACTGCGTCTTAACCACGATATAATACTATACACAGAAAACAATCTTAGGTGTAAACAATTCCATTCTGCAGAAGAAAGGCGCAGAGGAACTGGTACTTCATCCCACTACTATCATCGGCTTGCTCAATTAAATGATAGGTATATAGACTGATTAGATTGTATTCTTCTCAATATTTGTCTTAAATATTAATGGATTTTTCAACATCTTTGGTAAATTTTCCTGGGAACTTCGGAGCTACAGATGTAGTATTTATATCTTCTTTCAAACATACTGAGAACGTCAATCCCTCCTTCAGCTTCCATTACATTCAGAACTTATAGATAGCATGATATTGTTCTATGTACTCCTGTGGTGCCGTACAGCGCCAAGAAAATGAGCTGCCTTTCCGAATTATGTTAATCCATTATCTCACAGATTTTTATCAGTTGTTTCCACTATTTGTCCTTCGTTCAGTAGATTTAGTAGCGAAATCAACTTACAATTCAGGTACTTATAATGTTTCGTTACGGTACCGATGATATATTGAACAGCGGACTGCTTCCACAAAGTAGAACTTCAGGGAGGTTTATTTCCTCAACCTACTTCTAACACGCTTGCATATAATCCATGCCTTTTTCTATCGAATATAGGCTCTAAGCCATCTTCATCCTCCAAAATGTGTAGTTTGAGTTTTTTTCCAAGAACCTTACACGTGACCCTGTGGGAACTTGTAGAACTGGTCCGAACAACTGACATCATTTGATTCTTTGACTCTTTATCACCTCTGGTCGTCTGCGCATATTTTCTAAGCAAGACCAATATATAATGAAACAAAGTTATGAAGAACAGTCTGATCTTATCAGAATCCAGTGGTAACCTCTAACGTTTCCAATTACATCAGTAGATTATGATAATTTTTAGCCATTCTCAACTACTTCTCCAAACGAATTACATTTTTCAAACCTTTTCGAGCATTAAGTTACCGAACCATCTCAAAGATACTTTGGAATCTTCCTCAAAAATATACATATCACGTTCAATTTCTACAACCTTATGTAAAATTCCATCCAATTGTAATTAATCTTCTGCTGTATGAAAAATTAGCACATTAGTCCTAGCCTAAATTTCTTGTCTGTTCAGAAGAAGCACTGTTTCTTTGATCTTCCGCCTCTATTCTTAGTGAGCCTCTTAATTGTACCGTCGCAGAAGGATAGCAGTTTAAAAGCTGGGTGGATTTGGTTTGTGTAACAGTTGCTCGAAATGCTTTTCACTGTTTTGTTGACAAATACTGAAACAGGAATACAGATCACAATACAGTCTTCGCAGTATTTTGACCGCACTCATAGAAGAAACAATACTTCAACTTTTCCACAATTGAAGGTCTATCCTTTTAAACACTGTATTCTAAGCGGCCGCAAAAGAAGCAAACAAATGCGGTAAGCTCGAGCAGTCCACCTGCTGTCGAAGACTTTGTGGGTCTGCCCTATTGAAATTATACACGTCGTTGTCGGTTGCCCTTCTACTATCACCTGGGTGCGGAGGTTTGCTTTTGTCTTGGTCGCTGTTAAGCGAGCCAATAACACCCGAAGATGTGGACTTGGTTTTGAGACTGCTACCTTGCCAATCCACTCTATGCTGACGTAGTACTTCATTCAACATGGCATGTAGTGGTCAGCCTGTACTCTTCTTATGTTGGAACAAATGGCCACCAGTACTAGACTGCAAAAATTCATTCACAGAACCTAATTATTTTAATCTTTGTTGGCCGCGAAAACTGTGCGCCCAGAGTGCTCTTTTTCTTTGTATATTCAGTTTTTTTCTTACCCTTATTTCAGCAGCTTTCCGTTTGCCAGAGAAAGCTTTTGGTTTCAAGCACTGCAACTGGATGGATCCTCTTGAAGAATTCGACCACCTAGTGATGTACGTCCTTAGGCACCAATTCTATTTTTAGCTTCCTTTCCGATGCCCCCATCTTCAAGGGTTGTCTTGCGTCAGAGGAGGATAAAATGCTACACACTCTTCAGGACCTAATTTCATTACTGATGGAGGGACTAGGGACACGCATAACACTAATCAGATCCTTTTTCATACCATTGAGATCTGGCGTAAGTTTTCCATTCTCCTAACTACAATTTTATAGAAAAAACTGCCCTCTATTGGCCTGCGCCTGAATCCATCGTTGGCAAACAGTTTGACTATCCGTGGACCGCCGAGTGGAACAGAAGCTGGCAAGACTTTTAGGCAATTCTGGGGCGGTAAATCGCAGCTTCGACACGTTGATGGCGATCTGTTTGAGTGTGTCGTGTGGGAATCTTCACGAAATGTCACTTTGCAAATCGTTGACCATCTCCTTGTCCGGTAAGTTCTGAATAGGAAAATTGTCCAAGTCTGGAGCCGATGTGCGCCGACCTAAGCACGGCCTCGTGTTCGAAAAACTGAAAACGCCTGTGTATGCGTCAGAATATGCCTTTTGTTACTGTCAATCCTCCTAAAATAAGGCTAAAAGTGTGTTCTTAGAGTTGAACCGAGGTGAAGTTTTTTTAGCAGCCCTTAAAGTTTCCATTGTCTTCTAATTAGAAATTAATTTGAAATTTCTAACTAACGTAACGTTTCTTCGTGGTAGACGATTTGTTTGCGTTCGTCATCTCTGTCTAGGCGGTTGTGTCAAATCTAGTTGATATATGTCTGTGTTGAATGGATCCTTCTGAATCCCAGGTCGTGCGTCTTGCACTTTACGTCAACGTTTGTACAACAGGGTACCTGTATCTCAATTATTGAGGAAGTCAAGCTGGTCTAGCAGTTTATAAGTACTTTGGATGCTATACCTCGCATGAAACTTAATTTGCAGCCAATTTATTGGCTCACGCGACATTGGCCGTAGCATCCCGTTTGTATCCGTACTTTTCCCAATTATTTTCAGCTTCTTGATAGATGGGCCCCCTTTTACCGCCAGAAATAACTCTAGAAGGATTGGAAACAGTCTGCATGACTCCAGCGCCGACCAAACTCGTATCGACAATGTCACGGTGTTTGTTCATATTTAGTTTGCGCCGTGACCTGCGCTTATTTTGCTAAACGCTTTTGCCGATTCCGTTGGCTTGCGTGCTAGCATGGTAGAAAGCCTCCATCAAAGAGGTAGTGAACGTTCTATAAGAAGTGACAATCTCGAGTAATCAATTCTGACCTTGTAGACTCATTGACCAACTGTAAGGCTGTCTTCTCTGCTGGAATAATTTCCGGAGTGGAAGGGAATATAACTCTTGCTTTCACATTCGCATCTCCCAGACGGGCGCAGCTGCAAATGCTAGCCATTTCTACTGGCAGGTGAACGTAAACTGACGGATTAAGGCCATTGAAGCGTGGCTCTAATTGCATTATTGGCAATCTGCTGCCGTCCCGACTCGCAGTCAATCGAGGGCGCTTTTGTTGGGTTGAATATTTGAATCATTTGTTCCCAGGTGGGAATTTAAAAAAAAGTTGTAAGCGGTAGCAGGATTTATTGATTCCAACAAATTTCTTGACGGCTTACCAACTGCCACCCGTCTTTGCATGACGTAGATAACGAATGGAAACACACGAACACGAACGCCTATCCGACAATTGTCCTCCAATTACACAAAAAAAGACAGTCTTCAATTTAGTAAACATTGCTGAAAAAAATTATGATTTCTTTAAATCTCGAATCATTATTTATCAATCTACCACTGGACCCCTTTCTGCGCATTTCCAGGCTTACGATTACCTATGACTAAGGATTCCCGACGGAATCCGAAACGTCAGGACAGTAACTATAAATACCGTGTTATCTGTGCATGTATAACCCTATCTGCGCATGTTTCAGACTGTTCTTCGTACCTATGACTAAGGATTCCCGACGGAATCCGAAACGTCAGGAAAATAAAGTGGTGCAGCCTGTGCATATATCCACCTCATCTGCGCATGACCATGCCTATGTTATCATTCCTATGACTAAGGATTCCCGACGGAATCCGAAACGTCAGGCAAATAAAACTCCTGTTCCAGTGATCGCATCTTCGTCTTCTGAACTGCTTCCTGGGACTCGAATATT